CTTTCAATGTACGACCGAGGCTTACTGTTATATTTTTATCCACTGCAAGTGGAGCGGGGTAACACGCTGACGACACACGGCCTTATCAAACGGGCGGGGTCCCTTTGTCCAACTTTAATTGAAAATATTGGAATAAATTTTCCAATAGACACCCGGCGCGCGATGGGGAACTTTGGACGGCCGACGATGCGAGACGACGCGCGAGAGGCATCAGAGAAGAGGAAGAGGAGGGAGGGAAAAGGCTGGCAGTGAGTTACTAGAGTTTCTGTGGAATAAATAGACAGGCGAAAAACACACATCCATAGTCAAAGCAATGAATATTCAGGGATATAAAAGGGATGAGAGGGAGAAGCCACTCGGGTGATGTTATTATTTTTTACCTTTTTAATCTCAATTTCTTTATACTTTTTTCAATTATTGTAATTGATTAGTAATTATTTTCTTGAGACGTCTTAATTTGAGATAGTTATAAAAAACGTGTCTCATTTTTCCCTCAATTTTCCTGATTTTTCAAAATTTTCGCTGAATAATTGAACTGAAAAATCAAGTATTTCATTGATTTGGAATATTTGATTTCTGAATGGCAAAATTTCCCGGAATTTCAGTGGACCTCAAACACGATAAAATGTTCCGAACTTTGACACGAAAAATTCAAACGAACATTTTTAACAGTGCAGGGTGAAAAAGTACTGAAAATTGGTTCGCTCCACGATTACTCGACTTCTGCGATAATTTTTCTCCAACTTTTTCTCCCTGTAGAATTAATAAACTCCTACATTTATTCCAAACTGAAACTGTTTCAATTACATAAAACAAATAACATCCAATGGATGTTAATAAATTCATAAAAATATCTGTTAATATTCAAATATTCTCCAGAAGCAACGCCTAAATTTCCCGTGGCCTCTTTCTCCGCGTAATGGACAATGAATTTAAATTGACTAGCACAACTGTCGGAGTTTATAAGTCATCGAGCAAGATCGGTCAGCCCCTCTCAGTTGTTCATTCGCACATACACAAAATCCCATTGGCTGCATTGATGCGTGGGTACGTTGATAAAAGAGGGCAAGAGCGCGTGGCGAACTCGATAGAGCGACAATTCAGTTTGCAAACGCCCCCCCCCC